AACCTTCGTGAACGATGAGACACGCTGGTGTTTTTCCTGCGTCGAGACTTCTTCCGTCGTTTCGTTATCTCATTCAAAACTTTTATGCGAAAAATACTCGGTAGGAATTTAAGTCACGCAAAGCATCGTAATCGTATTCATCCTCGCGTTACATAATCGACCGCGGATTTCGCACGCGATTACGCGAATAATTATTCGGGCCTTGAGCATGCCCCGATCTCTTTTCGGTAAACGACGGCCGTATTTGTCGATAAGCGTCGTTACAAAAATAACTTGGATCTCTGTTGGGCGTGGAAATCAATATTTCTGACTTTTCGCGAGACCTTAAAGGTCTGCTTGCGTTTAACTATCGACTCCGTCGCGTTTCACCTGCGAGATGATGCGGTAAAAGTGAACGAATATCCTAGTATCGATTGCCATTCATCGCGTGAGCAAAATGCCGTTCATCTCTGAATCTCGGTGAATCATAATCGATGACACTATTCTCCCGTATGCCATTATTCGGCGGCTCGTAACGATCGTTTCGTGCATTCGCGCGATCTTGCCGTGTAACGACGTTTACTGACGACACGGCGCTGAAAAGTAGAGCGCGTTCGGTGTGAAAACATGATGACATGATAAAAATGCAGGACATGAATGGAGAAGTTAATTGGAGGAGCGAGAATAACTTTTCGCAGGAGTCACGATTTGTTTAAGGACTTCGATACCATCGTCGCGAGCGTGATTAGACTCGCATCCCTCCCGCGAGTATCCGTTTTGTTAGGACACGTGATACTTTCACTCGTATATCTACTGTCACGTCGCAAATTTTTCGACCGCAATTACTGCAAATTAGCATTGTCATAAGCGCGCGAGGAGACTTGCCTCGTGAGAAACGATAAATTCTCTGAATTCAATTTCTGTATTTTTCAATTATGTATTTTACGTAAAAAAATGAAGGACGAGAAAATTCGACCGAAAAATCTGTCGTAAAACATCTTGTGTAATGTTGTAAATAGTTCAATAGAAATTTAAGAGATTTAATTCGGTAACTTTCGGGAAAAAAAAAATGCGGAAAAAAGCACATTTAACAATAAGATCTTCTCAGTGAGAATTCTGTCTTTCTTTCCCGTTTTAAAAGTTCGAATGGACGGCGAAAAGATACGTCACATTTTATAAAGATTTAATTACGGGCTGTATTATTATTTTCGATTGCATCATATAGATATTATCGATATAATGCTGCTATATACCTTTTATGAGTCAATTTAGCTTTTAGTTAATTCACGGATGAAAGCCCACGCTGCAAGTTAGATTATTATCGTTATCATCAATTTACCTTATAGCCGATCATCTCAAATTACTATAAATGCAGTACAACATTTTCATCGCTCTCGATCGCTTCGCTCGATTCGCGCCGTGCGTAGCACAGGACGCACTTGATGCGCGCGAAAACTGCACCTGAACGACCTTCGTGCCAGTTGTTATTATTATGAATAAAGGGGAAATAAATCCCCCCCTCCCTCCCTCCTCCCCCCTCCCCCTGATATATAGGATTATCGATCCCTCGAGCCGAGGAACGCACTCAAGCCTGAATTAAAGGACACTCGGGCAACTTTCGGAAAGCTTTCTCGCAGCCTCGGTTCGAAATTGGCCCGACCCCGCTGTGTCCGTTTTTCTTGGAAATTCTTGTACCGGGTCTGCCCTTTAAAAGAGGCGATCCCTCCTTGAAAGCCTCGACAGGTCGATGCAGCTTAGATGCAGTTTCACAGATGGTGATCACGCTGACCTGCTCACGTTTTCCATTACGGGCTCCACCACGTTCCACGTGGGACAGATGCACGCGGCGTAAACGTCGCAAACCACGCTCACGCATTGACAATCAACTAACTATTGGAAAGTACAATTCGCGGCGTTTCTCACGAGGAGAAAAAAAATGTGACATTTCCTTGGGGGGAGGGGGGGGATGTCCATGTTCGGGCGTCACAGAAATTAGGTCTCGCTCTACGCTTTATTTCATTCCCGCTGTAATTGTGTTATGAAACGGAAAAGGCGGAAGAGTTGCGGAAAAGAAGAGATAATTTCTTGAAAATTCAGTGATTAAGATAAGAATTTCTTCTATGAAACTTTGAAGCGTGTCGCGAAGAGGTTTTTTTTTTGTTTTATTTTTAGAAAAATTTGCACTGCCAAAGTGCCAAGTAAGCATAAACTATAGTAAAAAAAAGTAAATACATACATATATTAGAATATATATAAAACGTGAAATCTTTTATACAAACTCTATAATTGCTTTATCGTTATTTACTGAAAAATATGTTTTGAAATTACAAGCCAGTTGCCTGCAACGTTTCTCATATACCGTATCAAGTGATAAACGTAAAGCTACAAAATAGAGAGAAATATTTGTATAAATACGGAAAACACGGCGGTTGCACTTTTTATGTATAGACACAGAAAGAATTCTAAAGATCTCATTAAACGCATTGCATAAGATGCCACCGAAAATCCAGGGCTTCTCATCTATATTCAAGTATATATTGAATCGTAGTATACCGTATTTCCTATCGCCTTTGTTCACAATTTCCATTGTCTCCTTCTTTATCGTTCGCTCTATGAACCTTCCACGCGTATTTGCGTAAGAACCAAACGAGTGTAATGGCGTTCTTGTGTTGAATGCTGTACGCTCGACAATGTAATCAGATCCGCGAAAAGGCCTATTGGTCCTTTATACATGGACGGTCTTTGTCGCATAAATCTAATTTCCGACATCTTGCAATATACTGCAGAACAGAAACGCACACGCGTAAGTGGAAATTATTGCACTGGACGTTTAATAGTGCCATCAAGTTAGATAAAAATGCAGATTTTTTTTTTAATTTGGATTTGACGTGGAGAGCTTCCGCGCGATGGATTCCATCATTCCTTTTCGTAACATTTTAATATTTGATATCAAATATTGGTATAAAGCAATATGTATAAAATTATGGCACATATGAATATTTATTTAAAAAGTGATAATCAGATATAGTTGTTTTTCCATTGCAGATATATTTTTAAATTTGTACGCTCGTATATATTTAATTTATCTATTTATTGAAAAAATTAAGTATTGATATTTCATTTAGTTTACATAAATAAATGTTGTTAATAAATCAAGAAGAGATTTTTTTTATTTCTAGGTATTTAAATATAATACAGCAAACATGCACATACAACGTAAGCGTTTAATCAGTAAAAAAACTTTATTTAATCGACTGGTAATGTATAGTGCAAACAATTTGATAAAATTTAGATGCAATTTTACAAACTGTAGCTACTTTGTGGGTAGTATTATTTGGAATTTGCATTTAAATACGATGACGTTTTAAATTTCGTATATAATTCCGTTACATGTTTATTGTAGTAGATTTTTCAATTTGAATGTTAATTAATATGAAAGAAATTACGATTTAACATTCCTCACGATTTATTGAGGATTTTTATGCCACTCTCTTAAGCTACTTTAGTCAGAACAACTTTATAACGAAAAATAATCGCAAACTCTTTTCCTAACATGATAAACCGGCGACTGACAAGCCGTAATATATGTATATATTTAGGATTTATCGTATCGAAAGTTTCTTCCCGGTCTGTTGCCGTATGCATGTCCCAAAGACTTTTCACACGATCGAACGACCAGGAGATTCTGCATTCGTTTGAGACATCATATAACATGTACTATCGGGATCATATGATATATAGCGACTGAATTTATTTCCACGTGAGCACCGTCACGTTCTACGAAATCTAAAAATATGGAAGGAAGGAATATTCCAAAGAAAAAAAGAAAAAGGAAATGGAGGAAGAAGGGGCATCATACTGAGATAAATGGCACTTTCTCTCTCAGCGAGAGATAAATTGCATTTTTTTTTTGACAATTTTTATAATTTTTCACAAGTTTGTGTCAGTGACTTTTTTTTTTAAGAAAACATTGATATTAACTATCTATAATTTCAGAGTACTACATTGAGAAAAATGTCTCGATTGGATTAATTGGAATTCTGATTGAAAATGGATGAGAAAATTCGAATTTTCTTACAGTTATATTTACTAAATTTACTAAAATTTTAGTTGGGATAACTGGAAAGATTCTGACTGATATTAGAATCTTTGATTTTAATATCATTCACTTTCAATCAGATATTTTTCTCGGTATATCTATTTATTTTAACAAGAAAGAATAAAGTATTATTATTAAAAGTAATACTTTATTATTATATTATACATATTACTTCTCGTTATTACTATTATTTATAGTAAAGATATTAACCGATTATTACACAGCTACTTTCGTTTCGCGTATATTTTTTTTATTATAAATATGATCTTTTTTAATGATGCGTTGTCAAAGATATCTCAAAATTGAGTTAGTTTACACCTTAAAGATATCCGTAAGTGTATATAATAATACTCGGATATACTATTTTTTGTTCATAACAGCTAGCAATTTACCTCACCTAGATTGCGTGTAAGGAATATACCAATAACTAGTTATCCTTCACTTAGTTTCCTTCGTCTATTAAAAAAAAAGAGTTTACAGTTATTCAACTGTGTACTATATTCTGTCGAACGTTTACCTCACTAAAGATCACACATTAAGATTCTACCTATCAAAAGTTACATTTTCAATTATCTGACACATTTTAATAATATTTATATAACATTTATGATAATTAAACTTGGATAAATATATAATTAAAATATGTAGGTATACATCTTCAAAGACTTGATTGATTATCTTATCTTTTATAAAATATATAAATAATATCTGTTAGATGTAACATTAAAGTTGTCTTTTATTAAGTTTTGCTAATTAATCATCTCAAGCTACACTTTAATGGAGATTTTATTCTTTCACACTAATACAGTACATTGAGAAATTTAAAAATCGTTCAGGAATTAAAAAAAGTATATACTTCGTTAATACTCCGTTAAAGTGTTTTAACAGTAATATTAACGCAGGGTCTGCTCTCTTATTCCAGGTCCCGAAGGCGTAGCGGTAGTGGCGTGACGGACATACATTCTCAGCAACAGCAGCAGCAATTGCAGTTGCAAGAGAACAACAACTCGCGCGAACAACAACTCGTGCGAACAACAAGCTCGCGCGACGCGAAGAAGCCGCAGGAGGGACTGGGGCCCGATGAGATGTGGGCCCCTGGCGCCCTGGGCCATCATCGGGAGCTACCTGTTGATGTGCCCGACACCCTTCTACAGAAGGCCTATCCCAACAAGGTAAAAAACTGCTCTTCCGATTATAGGAACGGGCTACAGCATCGTCCCCGTAGCGCTAGCGACCTCGACCTCTCCCTAAACCTTAAAAACGAAACCCTTAAGACGCGCACCATCGCGGACGGACGCGCTAGACTCGCATCGAACGATCGCACGCACGACGTCACCGACGACGCAGCCAGGACAATTAACGTCCACAACGGTCTTCAGCCGTCCATGCTGAAGATCGAGCTGAATATCGAGGACGAGGAGGAGAAAGTGAACGCCACCAGGAAGAATCTGGTGTTCGAGAAATACCACGACAGCCCGATCGCGGCCGGCTCGCCGGATTTGAAGAGTACCTTCAAAGTTTTCGAGGTATACGCGAACATTGACGAGGACGCAGGCGGGCAAAAGGAGTCTAGCGTTGATGTTGAAGACGACTATCCTTTTGCCAAGGAGGATTATCCCACGATGCTGAAGACATGCAGTGACGATTCCGCGAGTCCAAGAAGTTCATCGGGTAGATCGGACAGTACCGCACCCCTCGATACGAGTCTAATGCTCAGGCATAGTAAAAGCCACAAGGACTCGCCGACCTACGACGTACGAAGGATAGACCTCGGCTCTCCTTGTCGATCGGTAGTACCCGATATCAAGGTGGCTCCGCTCTTTGGCCGAACCCGCGACGCGACCTCCTTTGACAATCCGGCTTATGGATTAACGGACTTGCAGGATCTCCAGGGTCTACTGCGATCCGACGAAATGTCAGACTTGACCAGACTGATCGATGAACAATCTTCAATTCCACGAACTCCGCAGGACCAAGACAAAGTCTCGCCCGTCCGTGTCAAGGATCAGCAGATGGAACCTTCCCAAATCACCGAGCCAGTAGGCAAGTCCGGCAAAAGTCCGACGAAGCGTCGTTCGCACGACGAGCGAGTTAAATTGAAGGCGAAAACCCGCAGTCTCGATATCGAGGAATTGATTCGCACTGGCTCGACCGACGATCTTCTCGGCATCGAATTGAGCAATCTCTCCTCCTCCTCCTCCTCGTCCCGGCAGCGGACGAAAAAGAAGCGGCATCAGCAGATCTCCAGCGGCTATTCCACACTGAGGAGCGAGGCCTCTGGCGATCTCGAGCATAACACGGACCGCAGCTTCCTCGTGGTAGGGAGAAAGCCTTACCGCGAGGTAGCCGTCGATTGTCCACCGGACTTCGTGCCGGTCACCAAGTGCCATCCGATATACCCGCCGCCGAATAAGACCCCCGGCAGCAGCAAGCACAACACCCTCGAGCCGAAGCGCGATCGCGCGGGTGTCATTAACGAGGCGAGTTCGCGCGCTGCGACGACGACGACGACGACGACAACGACCATGACGACGACCACGCTCGTAGCCTCCCCTCGCCTCTCCTTGAACGATAATAGCTTCACGACGCTGTCTAGTGCCGACAGTAGCGCTAGAGAGACCGTGGTCGCGCGCACGGTAGACCATAAGCACAGCTTGAAGAAGGTAAGGTCCAAAGTCAAGAGCTTAATATGCGACAGCTTGCAGTCTATCCTGCACCACCAGCATGGGGATTCGCTTGACGCTTACGACAGCACGCAATACCCTAACTCACTAATGCGGACACATCCTAACGATCCCGTTCTGCGATCGTTCGTCACGACGAACCCTGAAAATCCCGACGAGTTCTCGCAAACACGAAGCTCCTTCGGCGAACGAGATGAGGAGTCTCCCTTTCAAAATCGACAAATCGGCAATTCCTCTCACGAGGATGACTACCACGACGTTTTCTTACGGGGAAAATTCTCCGGCGGGAGCGGAAAACATTCGTTGTCCTTCGTTCTTCCAGAAGAGCTTCCGAAAAATTCGCGAAACCCCTTCCTCGAAGAAGCCGGTAATAATAAAGCGATCTCTTCCCCTTTCCCAACTAGCGATTCCATATGCTTGAGTGTCTTTTCTACTTTCAAAAACAAAGTCGTGAGCTCTTCTTCTAAAGAAGAACTCCTTGGTTTCAAGAAGGAAATCGAGGAGAATAACTTCTCCGATTGCCCGAACGAGATTAGCTTGTTACCGGAGGAAAGTATCTCGTTTTTTAAAGTCAGAGATAACATCCGTGTTCAGTCGTCTGTCCAAGAGACGAATCAAAATTCTCGGAATTCCCTGCATGAGCTCTCCTTTGCGGAGCAACGCGTTGCGAGTCATTTATTCGATGACACGCGTTATTCTAACAATTGTCAGCCACGAGAAAAGGAGCGATGCGACGGCGCTCGCTGTCTCGATGATTCGCCGAGTACGCAAAATCAAAAAAATTCAAGGCTATTCTTTAAATACGAGTGTTTCAAGTTGGACGTTCCATCTATGCTTCCTAACAATGGCGTGAAATTTCGCGTCAGTTGGAGAAGCATGTCCGACCTTCCAAATTTAATGGCCGATCGGCGCCCGACGATGACAAGGAGAGCCTTTTCGCTCTCTGACTTTGTTTCGATATCGAAAATCACGTCAACACCCACCGTCGGGTGGGAAGAGACGGATAAAGTTGATCACCCGACACTTTCCTACGACCGATTTTCTGATGAACGTATGAAGCAGAACATACCACCAAAATCACCGACGCACACTGCGAAGAACCATTCGCTCAAGTCGCACGTCGACGCTCTCGATCAGCAGGTAAACCACAATGGACTTGGAGTTTAGAAACTTTCGCTCGTCGAATAATTCGAACGGCGTCCTTGCACTTTGGAAATTTGCGCGCCTTGCAAAGTAACTTCGTGATCGGTTGATTGTCTCTTGAATTATCTGATTAAATTCATCGTCATTCTAGTAGTTGTATTTCTCGAGTCTAAGGGTCGTGATCTGTCGGTAAAAGAGATAATCTCACGGAAACTATAGAACAGTCATTTCTCCTTGCCTTTTGCACGTGTTATGATCGTGGAAACTGTTACAGTCGCGCTCACAACTTTTCAATACTTGCACACCGGCTGCTGTCTGGGAAGCGCAATATGAATAAAATTCTCTTTCATAAACCGAGACATGTATATGGGTCGGAGTTATATATATATATATATGTAGAATTTGTTAACTATAAAAGCACGTGTCACTCTATTTAATTGAATTAAATTTTATTACGCGGTTGGATAAAGACACAAATTTGTGGAATGTCCTTTACAGAACAAATTTACGTAATATCTTTATATTTGTGTAATATCCTTTATCTTGATGAGACTATCATTGCAAAGATAAAATGTGCGAAGCCGCTGTTCAATTAAAGACGCAAAATAAGGAGCATGCGTAGAGGAATGTGGAGATATTTAACATGAAATCAACAGCATGGTAAAGTAACCCCAAGCTGCGTAATAAAAATTGTTAAGTAAAATGCTCGTTAAACTATAAATTATCGTACGTATCTTAATTAGCGTATTTCGAGATAGCGAACAAAGGAGACAAACAGTTTGAGATTCTAAATAACATAATAATCCTTTAATAAAAAAAATTGAGCGATAACTAAAAGTAAATAAGTAGAAGTATGTTATCATCTTCGATATCTACGATTATATTGATGAATCACCGATTCATTCGAGAGTTGGCATTTTACTTCTGCATTTTACTTTCGTAATCTCGCTTTTGACATGCTTTCTTTTAGTGTATCTCGCCCTATCTCTCTCTCTCTCTCTCTCTCTCTCTCTCGCTCGCTTATCTAGCTTACGTCAACTTCCTCTTTCTCTCTTCCCTCTCGTCCCTTCCGCGTGCCGCATGCAAATACGCGGTTCTACAAAGCCTCTTCGGCTCGGAGTACAGTCGAATAGTCTGAAAATAATGATAAAAGAGAAAGGAATGTGAAACGATGTGATAAGAGTTGGGGAAAGGCAAAGTAGTTTGCGCGACGTCGGGCACGTGGGGACCACTAATACGAGCTGTTTCGGAATGGATTTTTAGGCCGGTCTCAATGGAGTCAAACCCGCCATCCCACCGCGCGATCAGAAGAGAGCACCTGCCAGACCGCCGAAAGATAATCTGCGCCTCTCCGCGCAGAACAATAATGTCGAGACGAGCGATAACGCCAACGCCGAGCCGACGCAACAGCAGCTTCACTCTATCAGGAAATATCAGGTAAGATACGATGTCGGCACTCTTTCGCACTCTCGGCGTTCTATCGAGTCACGTAAGCACGCATGATAAGCATTCGAAGAGCGCGAACGCTACCAATCCCGTGTCGAATTTTGGAGGACGTGACGGAACGTAAGTATCGGCGCGAAGAAAAAAAGAAAACAAATTGGATGCGTGTGTGTGGCCTGACATGATACTCGAAATTGTTATTGTTACATTTAATAGCACATACGTTGAGAGAACAAGCTCGAGTCGATACGCAAATTGCCTAAAGCTGGTAAGTGTATAGACGATAATAGACTAACGCAATCCCTATGAAATTGTCACTAT